TGTTATATTTGCAGCAGCAATATTTCTTACATGCTCACAGCAGCATGTTGTGGATGTATTGGCAGTAGCAAGTCTCGGTACTTGCTCTGACGCAGCAGCAGCAGCATAGCAGATCTATTCCGCCAAGACCAAATACATTAATATTGTCATGAACATTACCATGCCAATCCCTCTGAGAGTTGTCATGACAGAAATATAGTTATTACACATTTCTGGAATAATTTTACAGGAATATTAAATAAAATGACTCTTGATTTCCATCTGTAGATGCTAAGAGCTTGGCTGAGATGCTAATCAGGTAAGGACATATTTAGAAGTCTGTGTACACATTAAACTCCAAAATTAAAACTCAAACATTAAAATTTGTGTTTAAAGAAGTGGCAGTGGCAATACTTTTTTTCCCCTCTCTGTTTGTGTGCGTGTCTGTCTGTGGTTGTTTTGCACCTGGAGCAGTAAGAACAATCGAAGTTTTGACACTCCAGTGAAAGGCCCACCTCAGGGACCTCGACTGCACATAGATATCCCCCGCGTGCAACTGCTCATCGAGGATAAAGAGGGAATCAAACAGATAGGTCAGTGTGTATGTGTTTGCATATGCAAGTCATATGCTATTGCAATATATTTTAAAAATCTGAGACAGAGTTGAGTTGATTACTGAAAAAAAACGTTGATAAAAAAAGTAAAGTAAAACTGAAAGTATAAAAAAAAAAATTTCCTCAAGGCTTGTTTTTTTCTCTGTTGTGTGCTATAGGTGAAGACAAGGCCACCATCCCTGTGACGGACACGGAGTTCAGCCAATCAGTGAACCCTCAAAGCTTCTGTACGGGCGTGTCTGTGCATCACCCCGCCCTCATCCAGAACACAGGCCCATTGATTGACATGTCAGACATCAGGCCGGGCACCAGTATGTCACAACTCACCCACTCATTCCATAACAGACGGAAGATGGTATAATTAGTTAATGTTTCATACACTCTCTGATTTTACCTTTATCAGATCCAGTATCGAGGAAGAGTGTGAAGTCTGCGCACAGCACGAGGAACCGCTATTCCAGCCAGTGGACTCTGACTAAATGCCAGGCGTCCACACCTGCTCGCACTCTCACCTCAGACTGGCGGACAGTGGGCTCCCAGCATGGCATTACGGTCACAGAGAGTGACAGCTACAGCGCCAGTCTGTCCCAGGACACAGGTCCATACACTTACACACACATTTCAGATTTTAAGAATAGTTATTATCCTATTAGCCAGACTTGGTCTTATTCTGCCCACTTTGACAGAAGGGGTCTGTTTCACTAGCATATGAAGTTTTACAAAGTGTACACACTCATTCTGTCCTCTCCTGTCCTCAGATAAGGGACGAAACAGTATGGTGTCCACAGAGAGTGCGTCTTCCACATACGAGGAGCTGGCCCGAGCGTATGAACATGCTAAGCTGGAGGAGCACCTGCAGCACGCCAAGTTTGAGATCACCGAGTGCTTCATCTCTGACAGCTCCTCTGATCAGATGACCACCGGCACCAATGATAACGCGGATAGCATGACCTCTATGAGCACACCATCCGAACCGGGCATCTGTCGCTTCACTGCCTCCCCGCCCAAACCACAGGACTATGATCGCGGCAAAAACGTGGCAGTGCCCATTCCCCACCGCGCCAACAAGAGTGAGTAAACAACACATTTAGGTGATTTTAAGGGGGTAATCATAAGCATGTTGGAGCTATGAAGCAGTGACGCAAGCTCAAGTACAGTTTGTGTCATTTCTAGAAAATTTTCAAGCGTGTAGTGCTGCAACCCTATTGTAATTGTAAGGATTTTTATTATCATTCTGCCATAAAACTGATTGTGCAGACCAAACCATAAGGCACAGAGACTTGAAACTTGGCCAGATGGTAGAGCTCAATTTGTGGAGAGACTAGCAAAGACTCCAGAGACCTCAATCAGCCACAGTGAAATTGCAAAGCGGCTCATAACTCAAGTGTCTCAAAACAAACAAAACAGCTACCTCTGATTTCCTGTATGCAAATGTTTCCACCATTTTGAATTTTGTCCAAAACCTACTTTTGAGAACTAGTCCTAGGTTTTTTCGCCTGATCAAAACCAAACCAGTGTAGAAATGTTCTCTGGAGAGTGAATATCAATAATTATCAAAAAAAAGTTAGAATTTTGACTTACCGTCACGACAGGACGCCAAAATGTTAGAAAGGGTCAGAGCCACTTTAACTAAAATGCTTATAACTCTTGAACAGAATAAGATTATCTTCACCAAATTCATAACAATTATGTAACAGCTCAGTCTGAAGTAACATAAAAAAATAAAAAAATAAAAAACTGAGTTTAGCCACTTGGTGGCGCTGTACGAGTCAAAAAAACAAAAACAATATGCCAATAACTACTCAACCTTTAGTCTGATTGACTTGAAAATTGGCATGCAGTGTCTTTGTGCAAAGTGTCACAAGGGCCTAAGAGGACATTCACATATCTAAAAAAAACATGGCAGCCATTGGTCAATGAATCTGAGCACCTATTAGACAAGGTTAACAGAGGCCGATCGAAATTGGTGGGCCTGTTTGATTCATGGCCCTAAATAGGGTCTGTGAGAAATTAGAAATAAATCAGCCACTGGGGGGCAATATCATATTTTTCAAATGCATAAACAATTGTATATTGCGTGGTTTTTCACGCATACACACAATATTCATAATATATGATAGATCTCCTCATTCCAAACTATTTTGCCTCAAGAACCACTGCTGTCAATCAAATTGTTTGTTAAATATGTGACAATATGTAAAAAAACACCAGCTCAATAATTATATATTAAAAAAAAGTTTAACTTTACACTTTGGTTACATATAACAGGATCATTTGAAAAACAGCCATGGCCAAATATATCCAAAATCCTATAAATTGTAAATGCAAACTCAAAACTTCACAAAACTAAAAAGTTTCATGAAGATAGTACCATAGGTTGCACTATAACAATTAAAAAGGTTTCAAAAACACAATAGTTCGATATTTGCAATTCCTGAATTCAAATCACAGAAGTACTGGGATAAAAGTTTATAGTTCAGATATAAACTCCGATGCGTATGGTAGTGATTAAAATAGAGTAAATCACCTTTTGAAAGTAAGTTGACACTTCAAATGAAGTTTTATCGATTACATTGTTACGCCAGTAGGTGGCGAAAAGGAGCTGTTAAAATGGATTTGTCTTTGAATCATGCAAAAGATTCATTCAAGAACGGCTGATTCATTTAATCATTAATTCATAAATTGCATGTGATTTTGTTTAGTTGTCTAATGTTTTTTCTTCAGAATCATGAGAGAACCACAACAGGAAATCCATTCTGGAAAAAAAAAGAAAAGAAAAAAACAATTTAACCAGAATCATGCAGTTCTATTTTGCACACAAACAGCTCTTAAAGAGTCCAGTTTTTATGTAGCCTGTTGATTTTTGTTCATGGTATTCAGCTCCAATAAATGATTTGCAAAAAAGAGACACAGGATAAACGTTTGATATCATTATTTAATCACATTGAAATCGAAACTGGGAATCGAAAAGAATCGGAATCTATAAACATAATCGGAATTAATAAAATTCAAACGATACCCAACACTAAGCAACAGTATACGTCTTAAACACTCACGGCACCGTATCGCCATATGCATTGGCAGTAGAAAGTTCCTGTACTTGCTTGCAGCAGCAGCAATAATCTACAACTACAGCAATAACCAACAGCAGCAGCAATTCAGCAGCAGCGTAGCAGATCTATTCCGCCAAGACCAAATACATTAACATTGTCATATCCATCACCATGCTAAAATCTTCCGAGAGTTGTCATGATTGAAATATATTACACAATGTTTCACACATACACTTGATCTTCATATATGATAGATCTTCTCATTCTGAACAACTTTGCCTCTAGGACCGCTGCTGTCAACCAAATTGTTATTGTTAAATTATTTGAAATTGTTTAATAAACCTACTTTTGCAAATTAGTCCTATGTTTTTTGCTCAACAACAATAAAACCAGTGCAGTACAATTCTTTGGACTCTCCAGATCAATAATTATCAAAAGAAATGTTGAACCTTTGCATTTGGACAGCTATAACAGGGTAATTAAAAAATGTTGTCTTGAACTAGTGTACCCAAAAACCTATAAATCATAAAAGAAAACTCAAAACTTCACAAAACTGTGTGAAGTCATGCAGCATGTGATTTTAAATAAGCATGCAAATTTTATAGAGATTGGGCAAAAAAATGGCACTATAATAGTCATAAAGGTTAAAAAAACAATGCATTTATATGGTAAATTCCTTGAAATTGCGATTATAACCACTAGATGGCAGCAGAGGATCATTCACTGGCTCATTCTATTCATTAATATAGTACTTCCCTGAGAGTTTACATTTGTACAGACATATCAGTTTTTACAATTATGCCAGACTATGATTACAGTGAAATGTGAAAACTATGTATATAAATTCTTAAAAAGAGAAGACTTGCAGTAAGCATTGTTACCTACCATTTATTTCAAATATCTATATCTGCAACAAAATGTGTGTGTGTGTGTGTGTGTATTCTCTATCATGGATGTGTTTTAGTGTCAGCCATACATTTTGGGATGGCCTAGTCTCCCATAGCATCCATGTCATAAGGCCCTTAAAGTGCTTGAACTCCCGTAATTGCTGCTTGAAGCAATATTTATAAATTATATTTATTATATAAAATATTATAGATATTGATATTCTATGATAAATATTTAATACTTGTATAATATTTTTATTATTATTCTGATAATCATAAGAGGTTACATTAAATAAAATGGTTT